GATCCTTGAAAATAGTGGCAATTAATCAAATCACGAGGGGGGCAAATTGTAACATGGATAGTTGTGCTTGAAAGTGTTGGTGCCAAGTGGGAGCTCCTTTAACGCTTAGTGCTGTGCTTAGTGTTTCACCTCTTGTGTGGTTAGGGATGATGTTGGTTAATACGGTAGTTTGTCATTGCAGTTGCATTAACGAAATAAATCACTTCGTAGACAAATGTCTGGTACAGATTTATAGGGATGTAACAATTCAGCCATCTAAACTTTTGTAACGCTAATGACACAGGAAGTCGTGTGCAAATTATTTCCGATTCAAATTGCTTGTGATTTGTGAATAGAACCCCCTATGTTTCGCAAAAAGGGCAGGGCTAAATTGAAATCGAATTCCAGAATTGTACTAATTTATTCATAGTTATGAGTGAATCGTTACATCCCTGAGTAACACAGAATAGTGAATTTAATTCATGAATATTGTGCTTAATAAAGTAAAGAGATACTTGTCTCAGGAGTGGTGATGTGGTTGGAAAGTTTATCAGAAATGCTCAACTCGTTGCTACATTCATCATCCATGATCAATCCACTGCATGATTAAGGTCTCTAAGAAAAGATTACCGTGCACGGGATACGAAATGCCTCGGTGTGCTATTGAGTTTTGTACAAAATCCAATATCTATATTCCACCCAAATGGGGAAAGTTGTAAACCCGGAGGTGAAACATAGCCTTTTGCAGGGCAGGATCACAGTAGGACTAATCGGTTGAGACGAGTCGCAGGAGTTTGGAAGTGCCGCCCTTTGGATGTGCAAATAATAGGATCGTACGTAGTATTAAGTGTAGCGATTATAGAATACTACACTGGAGAATACAAGAACAGGGAGGTGTATAAACTATCCAAGAGCACACACAGGAAGTTGCAATAAGGGCAAACAGCGATAAAAGGTAAGGACGGTAAGATCTTTATTGAACAAAGAAGAGACCAAAAAGAGATGGGCTGAGTATTGTAGAGCTGCTAGATGAACTAGAAAAGAACCCTACGACCGAGGGATGATGAGAATGATAACATCTTGTACGAAGAGGTAGAAAAGGCAATAAAACATCCAGGAGTGGACGGCATAAGTGAGATTATAAAAGCTGGAGGAAAGAAACTAAAAAATATATGAGCTATGCAAGCAAGTATGGAAAGAAGGGGAAATACCGGAGGAATGGACAAAATCCATACCTGTGACGAAACCCAATAAATGAGATCTCACCAATTGTCAAATAAAAAAAACCATCGCACTGAGCCACATGGGGGAGATACTAATGATCATACTATTACATTGATTAAAGCACATGAGGATTTGGCGGATGAACAGGCAAAGTTTAGGAAAGATAGGAATGCAGTACAGCAAATCTTGATGTTAAGACTTACAGCTGAGGAAGCAAAGTGAAATAACAGGCTGGTTTACAACTGTTTCATAGATTTCCAGAAAGCATTCGATTCGTGGGCGACATTAAGATCATGGAGTTGGGAAAGACTGATAACAGATTCTGCAGGGTATAGGTGAAAGGTCAAAGTCAGCGGTCAAGTTTGGACAGGAAATAGAATGTTCCCCAACAACAATAGGAAAAGACGGGGAGATCCAGTATCACCAAACGACGTCATCACATACTTGGAAGAGTGATGGATGACATTCAGGACAAGGGCACAGGAATATCTGTGGAATGAGAAAGAATAAGTAACCCGAGATTCGCGGACGACATAGATCTGATGGAAGAAGGCTGCCTAGTACTGCAGGAAAGTGTTCATATGGTGAATAAGTCAGGAAAGGATGCAGGACTAAGGATTAACGTGGAAAAGACGGACGATAGTGTTCGGAAGGGAGGATATTGAGAAAGACGTAATAGAAAGCAGTAATATTGTGAATGTAAATGAATGTAGACACTTTACTTACGAAGTCTACCGACATGGGACAATGACTGCACGAAAGAAAAGAGCGAGGGACGCAAAGACAAAAGGAGTAATGGCAGGAATCAATAACAGCTGGCGAAGCGAGCATATCAGCCCTAAGACCAAATTGAGCATCTTAAGCACATGCGTGTTCAGTACAGCTTTGTATACCTGCGATACCTGGACGTAAAAAAAAAACCTGACAGATAAGAGTGGCACTTGAAATGTATTGCTACAGAAGGATTTAAACTGGACCCAGAGAGTGACCAAAGTAGAAATAAACAGGTTGCACATGGAATACCTGATGCAGGCAGTGATACGAAGGACATTGGACACATGGAGGATGGACAATAACAGGAAAATGGAAAGTTGTTTGGAGAAATGTATGGAACTGGATAGAGAGGAAGATCTCAGAGATAATGGGTTGACGCATAAGAGATTGGCGCCGGAAAGATGTGCACTACTTGAGCATTTGGCACAAGACAGGAAAGTGGGAACAAATGACAACATACTCTTTAGTTCTTTCGGTAAAGTCACGTAGTTAGAAATAAAATAAAATAGAGTGAGGAAATCACTCTATTTTATTTCTAACTACGTGACTTTACCCAAAGAACCAAAGAGTATAGATTCCTGCAGTCACGAAAGTTTCAAATAAAAAAATGACAAAATGTATGTTGAAATTTTGCATCGTACGTAGCCAACTGTGCTAATCGGCGGTGCAGTGAAGGACCACAAACGTACACAATATTTATACATGTGCAGTGGACACCTGTGATCGTGATGATGATGAGTTTTTGGCAACTCGCCACTCCATGTAAGGCGGACTGAAGACTGCAGCATCTCTGGGGAATGGCCAAGAGCAAGAAAAGAAAACGGGCCCAGACCGTGCTCTCGTTAACAGAGTCAAGGCACGGGGAACATGTGCGGGAAATAATAGTCACTCAGCCAGGGCCAGCGAGGGTGATATGATCCACGGCCTGGCAGCAATGACTGCAATGATAACCGCAGCGTCCCTCGTGCGCTTTATATCGAGACTATAGTGTGCCAATTTTAGCTGAAACTATTCCCGGGAGATGTGTTTTTTTAATGTATTAAATTTCTTACAATACCCTTTTAATATTTCGCTTTCAATAGTCACTCCCGGCCAATCAGGGAGAGTTGGCAACTCTCGTCCGAGGCACGGCTGTGCAGTGAGAGTGATGTCGCGTTGGTTGTTGATGGTCAGTCAAGACCAGGGGTCGACCACCTGCGGGCTATTCTTAGTTCTTTCGGTAAAGTCACGTTGAAGGGAAACAATAAAATAATAAAATATATATAACAATAAAAATTCTCACGACGTTTCGACCATAACACAAACGGTCGTCTTCAGGGTTTTATTGTTTCCCTTCAACGTGACTTTACCGAAAGAACTAAGAATATGAATTAATGCAGTCACGAAAGCTTTAAATCAAAATTTCACCTGCGTGCTCTTCAAGGACTGCTTCGTGACGTTATTCACGAGCATTGCGGCTCTTTAAATATTGTGGGGGGAGCGGGGGGGTTGGGGGGAAGTGGGGGGGGTTCGGGGGGGAGTTGGGAGGTTGGAGAGTGGGGGGGTTGGGGGGGCGGGGGGGGAGTGGGGGGGGGGGGTTGGGGAGTGGGGGGGTTGGGGGGGGCGGGGGGGAGTGGGGTTTTGGGGGGAGTTGGGGAGTGGGGGGTTGGGGGGGGTGTGGGGGGAATTGAGGGGGATTTGGGGGAGAGTGGGAGGGGTTTGGGGGGGAGTTGGGGGGGAGCGGGGGGGAGCGGGGAGGTTGGGGGGGAGTGGGGGGGTTGGGGGGGGGAGGAGAGTGGGGGGGGAGTGTGAGGGTTCGGGGGGGGGGAGTGGGGGGGAGTGGGGGGGGGGGGGGGGGGGGGGGGGGGGGGGGGGGGGGGGGGGGGGGGGGGGGGGGGGGGGGGGGGGGGGGGGGGGGGGGGGGGGGGGGGGGGGGGGGGGGGGGGGGGGGGGGGGGGGGGGGGGGGGGGGGGGGGGGGGGGGGGGGGGGGGGGGGGGGGGGGGGGGGGGGGGGGGGGGGGGGGGGGGGGGGGGGGTGGGGGGGGGGGGGGGGGGGGGGGGGGGGGGGGGGGGGGGGGGGGGGGGGGGGGGGGGGGGGGGGGGGGTGGGGGGGGGGGGGGGGGGGGGGGGGGGGGGGGGGGGGGGGGGGGGGGGGGGGGGGTGGGGGGGGGGGGGGGGGGGGGGGGGGGGGGGGGGGGGGGGGGGGGGGGGGGGGGGGGGGGGGGGGGGGGGGGGGGGGGGGGGGGGGGGGGGGGGGGGGGGGGGGGGGGGGGGGGGGGGGGGGGGGGGGGGGGGGGGGGGGGGGGGGGGGGGGGGGGGGGGGGGGGGGGGGGGGGGGGGGGGGGGGGGGGGGGGGGGGGGGGGGGGGGGGGGGGGGGGGGGGGGGGGGGGGGGGGGGGGGGGGGGGGGGGGGGGGGGGGGGGGGGGGGGGGGGGGGGGGGGGGGGGGGGGGGGGGGGGGGGGGGGGGGGGGGGGGGGGGGGGGGGGGGGGGGGGGGGGGGGGGGGGGGGGGGGGGGGGGGTGGGGGGGGGGGGGGGGGGGGGGGGGGGGGGGGGGGGGGGGGGGGGGGGGGTGGGGGGGGGGGGGGGGGGGGGGGGGGGGGGGGGGGGGGGGGGGGGGGGGGGGGGGGGGGGGGGGGGGGGGGGGGGGGGGGGGGGGGGGGGGGGGGGGTGGGGGGGGGGGGGGGGGGGGGGGGGGGGGGGGGGGGGGGGGGGGGGGGGGGGGGGGGGGGGGGGGTGGGGGGGGGGGGGGGGGGGGGGGGGGGGGGGGGGGGGGGGGGGGGGGGGGGGGGGGGGGGGGGGGGGGGGGGGGGGGGGGTGGGGGGGGGGGGGGGGGGGGGGGGGGGGGGGGGGGGGGGGGGGGGGGGGGGGGGGGGGGGGGGGGGGGGGGGGGGGTGGGGGGGGGGGGGGGGGGGGGGGGGGGGGGGGGGGGGGGGGGGGGGGGGGGGGGGGGGGGGGGGGGGGGGGGGGGGGGGGGGGGGGGGGGGGGGGGGGGGGGGGGGGGGGGGGGGGGGGGGGGGGGGGGGGGGGGGGGGGGGGGGGGGGGGGGGGGGGGGGGGGGGGGTGGGGGGGGGGGGGGGGGGGGGGGGGGGGGGGGGGGGGGGGGGGGGGGGGGGGGGGGGGGGGGGGGGGGGGGGGGGGGGGGGGGGGGGGGGGGGGGGGGGGGGGGGGGGGGGGGGGGGGGGGGGGGGGGGGGGGGGGGGGGGGGGGTGGGGGGGGGGGGGGGGGGGGGGGGGGGGGGGGGGGGGGGGGGGGGGGGGGGGGGGGGGGGGGGGGGGGGGGGGGGGGGGGGGGGGGGGGGGGGGGGGGGGGGGGGGGGGGGGGGGGGGGGGGGGGGGGGGGGGGGGGGGGGGGGGGGGGGGGGGGGGGGGGGGGGGGGGGGGGGGGGGGGGGGGGGGGGGGGGGTGGGGGGGGGGGGGGGGGGGGGGGGGGGGGGGGGGGGGGGGGGGGGGGGGGGGGGGGGGGGGGGGGGGGGGGGGGGGGGGTGGGGGGGGGGGGGGGGGGGGGGGGGGGGGGGGGGGGGGGGGGGGGGGGGGGGGGGGGGGGGTGGGGGGGGGGGGGGGGGGGGGGGGGGGGGGGGGGGGTGGGGGGGGGGGGGGGGGGGGGGGGGGGGGGGGGGGGGGGGGGGGGGGGGGGGGGGGGGGGGGGGGGGGGGGGGGGGGGGGGGGGTGGGGGGGGGGGGGGGGGGGGGGGGGGGGGGGGGGGGGGGGGGGGGGGGGGGGGGGGGGGGGGGGGGGGGGGGGGGGGGGGGGGGGGGGGGGGGGGGGGGGGGGGGGGGGGGGGGGGGGGGGGGGGGGGGGGGGGGGGGGGGGGGGGGGGGGGGGGGGGGGGGGGGGGGGGGGGGGGGGGGGGGGGGGGGGGGGGGGGGGGTGGGGGGGGGGGGGGGGGGGGGGGGGGGGGGGGGGGGGGGGGGGGGGGGGGGGGGGGGGGGGGGGGGGGGGGGGGGGGGGGGGGGGGGGGGGGGGGGGGGGGGGGGGGGGGGGGGGGGGGGGGGGGTGGGGGGGGGGGGGGGGGGGGGGGGGGGGGGGGGGGGGGGGGGGGGGGGGGGGGGGGGGGGGGGGGGGGGGGGGGGGGGGGGGGGGGGGGGGGGGGGGGGGGGGGGGGGGGGGGGGGGGGGGGGGGGGGTGGGGGGGGGGGGGGGGGGGGGGGGGGGGGGGGGGGGGGGGGGGGGGGGGGGGGGGGGGGGGGGGGGGGGGGGGGGGGGGGGGGGGGGGGGGGGGGGGGGGGGGGGGGGGGGGGGGGGGGGGGGGGGGGGGGGGGGGGGGGGGGGGGGGGGGGGGGGGGGGGGGGGGGGGGGGGGGGGGGGGGGGGGGGGGGGGGGGGGGGGGGGGGGGGGGGGGGGGGGGGGGGGGGGGGGGGGGGGGGGGGGGGGGGGGGGGGGGGGGGGGGGGGGGGGGGTGGGGGGGGGGGGGGGGGGGGGGGGGGGGGGGGGGGGGGGGGGGGGGGGGGGGGGGGGGGGGGGGGGGGGTGGGGGGGGGGGGGGGGGGGGGGGGGGGGGGGGGGGGGGGGGGGGGGGGGGGGGGGGGGGGGGGTGGGGGGGGGGGGGGGGGGGGGGGGGGGGGGGGGGGGGGGGGGGGGGGGGGGGGGGGGGGGGGGGGGGGGGGGGGGGGGGGGGGGGGGGGGGGGGGGGGGGGGGGGGGGGGGGGGGGGGGGGGGGGGGGGGGGGTGGGGGGGGGGGGGGGGGGGGGGGGGGGGGGGGGGGGGGGGGGGGGGGGGGGGGGGGGGGGGGGGGGGGGGGGGGGGGGGGGGGGGGGGGGGGGGGGGGGGGGGGGGGGGGTGGGGGGGGGGGGGGGGGGGGGGGGGGGGGGGGGGGGGGGGGGGGGGGGGGGGGGGGGGGGGGGGGGGGGGGGGGGGGGGGGGGGGGGGGGGGGGGGGGGGGGGGGGGGGGGGGTGGGGGGGGGGGGGGGGGGGGGGGGGGGGGGGGGGGGGGGGGGGGGGGGGGGGGGTGGGGGGGGGGGGGGGGGGGGGGGGGGGGGGGGGGGGGGGGGGGTGGGGGGGGGGGGGGGGGGGGGGTGGGGGGGGGGGGGGGGGGGGGGGGGGTGGGGGGGGGGGGGGGGGGGGGGGGGGGGGGGGGGGGGGGGGGGGGGGGGGGGGGGGGGGGGGGGGGGGGGGGGGGGGGGGGGGGGGGGGGGGGGGGGGGGGGGGGGGGGGGGGGGGGGGGGGGGGGGGGGGGGGGGGGGGGGGGGGGGGGGGGGGGGGGGGGGGGGGGGGGGGGGGGGGGGGGGGGGGGGGGGGGGGGGGGGGGGGGGTGGGGGGGGGGGGGGGGGGGGGGGGGGGGGGGGGGGGGGGGGGGGGTGGGGGGGGGGGGGGGGGGGGGGGGGGGGGGGGGGGGGGGGGGGGGGGGGGGGGGGGGGGGGGGGGGGGTGGGGGGGGGGGGGGGGGGGGGGGGTGGGGGGGGGGGGGGGGGGGGGGGGGGGGGGGGGGGGGGGGGGGGGGGGGGGGGGGGGGGGGGGGGGGGGGGGGGGGGGGGGGGGGGGGGGGGGGGGGGGGGGGGGGGGGGGGGGGTGGGGGGGGGGGGGGGGGGGGGGGGGGGGGGGGGGGGGGGGTGGGGGGGGGGGGGGGGGGGGGGGGGGGGGGGGGGGGGGGGGGGGGGTGGGGGGGGGGGGGGGGGGGGGGGGGGGGGGGGGGGGGGGGGGGGGGGGGGGGGGGGGGGGGGGGGGGGGGGGGGGGGGGGGGGGGGGGGGGGGGGGGGGGTGGGGGGGGGGGGGGGGGGGGGGGGGGGGGGGGGGGGGGGGGGGGGGGGGGGGGGGGGGGGGGGGGGGGGGGGGGGGGGGGGGGTGGGGGGGGGGGGGGGGGGGGGGGTGGGGGGGGGGGGGGGGGGGGGGGGGGGGGGGGGGGGGGGGGGGGGGGGGGGGGGGGGGGGGGGGGGGGGGGGGGGGTGGGGGGGGGGGGGGGGGGGGGGGGGGGGGGGGGGTGGGGGGGGGGGGGGGGGGGGGGGGGGGGGGGGGGGGGGGGGGGGGGGGTGGGGGGGGGGGGGGGGGGGGGGGGGGGGGGGTGGGGGGGGGGGGGGGGGTGGGGGGGGGGGGGGGGGGGGGGGGGGGGGGGGGGGGGGGGGGGGGTGGGGGGGGGGGGGGGGGGGGGGGGGGGGGGGGGGGGGGGGGGGGGGGGGGGGGGGGGGGGGGGTGGGGGGGGGGGGGGGGGGGGGGGGGGGGGGGGGGGGGGGGGGGGGGGGGGGGGGGGGGGGGGGGGGGGGGGGGGGGTGGGGGGGGGGGGGGGGGGGGGGGGGGGGGGGGGGGGGGGGGGGGGTGGGGGGGGGGGGGGGGGGGGGGGGGGGGGGGGGGGGGGGGGGGGGGGGGGGGGGGGTGGGGGGGGGGGGGGGGGGGGGGGGGGGGGGGGTGGGGGGGGGGGGGGGGGGGGGGGGGGGGGGGGGGGGGGGGGGGGGGGGGGGGGGGGGGGGGGGGGGTGGGGGGGGGGGGGGGGGGGGGGGGGGGGGGGGGGGGGGGGGGGGGGGGGGGGGGGGGGGGGGGGGGGGGGGGGGGGGGGGGGTGGGGGGGGGGGGGGGGGGGGGGGGGGGGGGGGGGGGGGGGGGGGGGGGGGGGGGGGGGGGGGGGGTGGGGGGGGGGGGGGGGGGGGGGGGGGGGGGGGGGGGGGGGGGGGGGGGGGGGGGGGGGGGGGGGGGGGGGGGGGGGGGTGGGGGGGGGGGGGGGGGGGGGGGGGGGGGGGGGGGGGGGGGGGGGGGGGGGGGGGGGGGGGGGGGGGGGGGGGGGGGGGGGGGGGGGGGGGGGGGGGGGGGGGGGGGGGGGGGGGGGGGGGGGGGGGGTGGGGGGGGGGGGGGGGGGGGGGTGGGGGGGGGGGGGGGGGGGGGGGGGGGGGGGGGGGGGGGGGGGGGGGTGGGGGGGGGGGGGGGGGGGGGGGGGGGGTGGGGGGGGGGGGGGGGGGGGGGGGGGGGGGGGGGGGGGGGGGGGGTGGGGGGGGGGGGGGGGGGGGGGGGGGGGGGGGGGGGGGGGTGGGGGGGGGGGGGGGGGGGGGGGGGGGGGGGGGGGGGGGGGGGGGGGGGGGGGGGGGGTGGGGGGGGGGGGGGGGGGGGGGGGGGGGGGGGGGGGGGGGGGGGGGGGGGGGGGGGGGGGGGGGGGGGGGTGGGGGGGGGGGGGGGGGGGGGGGGGGGGGGGGGGGGGGGGGGGGGGGGGGGGGGGGGGGGGGGGGGGGGGGGGGGGGGGGGGGGGGGGGGGGGGGGGGGGGGGGGGGGGGGGGGGGGGGGGGGGGGGGGGGGGGGGGGGGGGGGGGGGGGTGGGGGGGGGGGGGGGGGGGGGGGGGGGGGGTGGGGGGGGGGGGGGGGGGGGGGGGGTGGGGGGGGGGGGGGGGGGGGGGGGGGGGGGGGGGGGGGGGGGGGGGGGGTGGGGGGGGGGGGGGGGGGGGGGGGGGGGGGGGGGGGGGGGGGGGGGGGGGGGGGGGGGGGGGGGGGGGGGGGGGGGGGGGGGGGGTGGGGGGGGGGGGGGGGGGGGGGGGGGGGGGGGGGGGGGGGGGGGGGGGGGGGGGGGGGGGGGGGGGGGGGGGGGGGGGGGGGGGGGGGTGGGGGGGGGGGGGGGGGGGGGGGGGGGGGGGGGGGGGGGGGGGGGGGGGGGGGTGGGGGGGGGGGGGGGGGGGGGGGGGGGGGGGGGGGGGGGGGGGGGGGGGGGGGGGGGTGGGGGGGGGGGGGGGGGGGGGGGGGGGGGGGGGGGGGGGGGGGGGGGGGGGGGGGGGGGGGGGTGGGGGGGGGGGGGGGGGGGGGGGGGTGGGGGGGGGGGGGGGGGGGGGGGGGGGGGGGGGGGGGGTGGGGGGGGGGGGGGGGGGGGGGGGGGGGGGGGGGGGGGGGGGGGGGGGGGGGGGGGGGTGGGGGGGGGGGGGGGGGGGGGGGGGGGGGGGGGGGTGGGGGGGGGGGGGGGGGGGGGGGGGGTGGGGGGGGGGGGGGGGGGGGGGGGGGGGGGGGGGGGGGGGGGTGGGGGGGGGGGGGGGGGGGGGGGGGGGGGGGGGGGGGGGGGGGGGGGGGGGGGGGGGGTGGGGGGGGGGGGGGGGGGGGGGGGGGGGGGGGGGGGGGGGGGGGGGGGGGGGGGGGGGTGGGGGGGGGGGGGGGGGGGGGGGGGGGGGGGGGGGGGGGGGGGGGGGGGGGGGGGGGGGGGGGGGGGGGGGGGGGGGGGGGGGGGGGGGGGGGGGGGGGGGGGGGGTGGGGGGGGGGGGGGGGGGGGGGGGGGGGGGGGGGGGGGGGGGGGGGGGGGGGGGTGGGGGGGGGGGGGGGGGGGGGGGGGGGGGGGGGGGGGGGGGGGGGGGTGGGGGGGGGGGGGGGGGGGGGGGGGGGGGGGGGGGGGGGGGGGGGGGGGGGGGGGGGGGGGGGGGGGGGGGGGGGGGGGGGGGGGGGTGGGGGGGGGGGGGGGGGTGGGGGGGGGGGGGGGGGGGGGGGGGGGGGGGGGGGGGGGGGGGGGGGGGGGGGTGGGGGGGGGGGGGGGGGGGGGGGGGGGGGGGGGGGGGGGGGGGGGGGGGTGGGGGGGGGGGGGGGGGGGGGGGGGGGGGGGGGGGGGGGGGGGGGGGTGGGGGGGGGGGGGGGGGTGGGGGGGGGGGGGGGGGGGGGGGGGGGGGGGGGGGGGTGGGGGGGGGTGGGGGGGGGGGGGGGGGTGGGGGGGGGGGGGGGGGGGGGGGGGGGGGGGGGGGGGGGGGGGGGGGGGTGGGGGGGGGGGGGGGGGGGGGGGGGGGTGGGGGGGGGGGGGGGGGGGGGGGGGGGGGGGGGGGGGGGGGGGGGGGGGGGGGGGGGGGGGGGGGGGGGGGGGGGGGGGGGGGGGGGGGGGGGGGGGGGGGGGGGGGGGGGTGGGGGGGGGGGGGGGGGGGGGGGTGGGGGGGGGGGGGGGGGGGGGGGGGGGGGGGGGGGGGGGGGGGGGGGGGGGGGTGGGGGGGGGGGGGGGGGGGGGGGGGGGGTGGGGGGGGGGGGGGGGGGGGGGGGGGGGGGGGGGGGGGGGGGGGGGGGGGGGTGGGGGGGGGGGTGGGGGGGGGGGGGGGGGGGGGGGGGGGGGGGGGGGGGGGGGGGGGGGGGGGGGTGGGGGGGGGGGGGGGGGGGGGGGGGGGGGGGGGGGGGGGGGGGGGGGGGGGGGGGGGGGGGGGGGGGGGGGGGGGGGGGGGGGGGGGGGGGGGGGGGGGGGGGGGGGGGGGGGGGGGGGGGGGGGGGGTGGGGGGGGGGGGGGGGGGGGGGGGGGGGGGGGGGGGGGGGGGGGGGGGGGGGGGGGGGGGGGGGGTGGGGGGGGGGGGGGGGGGGGGGGGGGGGGGGGGGGGGGGGGGGGTGGGGGGGGGGGGGGGGGGTGGGGGGGGGGGGTGGGGGGGGGGGGGGGGGGGGGGGGGGGGGGGGGGGGGGGGGGGGGGGGGGGGGGGGGGGGGGGGGGGGGGGGGGGGGGGTGGGGGGGGGGGGGGGGGGGGGGGGGGGGGGGGGGGGGTGGGGGGGGGGGGGGGGGGGGGGGGGGGGGGGGGGGGGGGGGGGGGGGGGGGGGGGGGTGGGGGGGGGGGGGGGGGGGGGGGGGGGGGGGGGGGGGGGGGGGGGGGGGGGGTGGGGGGGGGGGGGGGGGGGG